AAATAATGAATAAATTTCAGTAGTTTTTTATTTTATATTTCATAATTTTTTTCGATGTCTTCAATTTATGCTGAAATTTACGTTGTGTAATTGTGTTGTCTTACATTTAATAATATTTTTTAAGTTTTTAGTGAAATTTTGATTGTTTAGTTATACATTTAAGTATTTTTATGTTGGATTATGTTATTTCTATTTTTCTAGTTTTTGGATTATGGATAATTTTTGTGATTGTTTTGATGAACTATAGGCTTATGGTTAATGGTCTTATGGGTTATGTTATTTCTATGATTACATGTTTTATTACTTCATTTACTTCATTAGTAGTGTTGGCTATAAGTGTTACATATAGGCTTTTTAGTATGTAATACATATTATGAATTTATTAGTGTATATGTCGACTTATTGCCGCGACTCCGCCACGACGGGCGTCATATCGCCATGGCGGTATGGCAGTCCAAAGGCGCCGCGCCGCAAAACACCGCCGTAACAACTATGATTATTATTATTATTATTATTATTATTATTATTTATTATTATTATTATTATTATTATTATTATTATTTTTTATTATTATTAATAATCTGCCCGGGTTCCTATCATATCACCCCCCGGACAACCACCTTGTCCTCAAGGTGGGAGGTAGGAAACAGCCCTGACCATCATCTTCATCCTTGCGCCTTTTCCTTACCAGTATCTCACTGCTTGCTGAACCACGAGCTTCAGTACTTGTTCCTTCAAAATCACAGATGTTTCCGCCACAGAAGATAGGCCTAATGAAGTTTCATTCGTTGCAGTATCCTTCAAGCACTCAATAACGATAAATGTTTCCTTGTTTTCATGAGGCTCCTCATAGTTTGATGTTAACTTTGCACCCTTCGTGATGTGCCATACTGCAAACAACCCCATGCAAACTTCTTCATTTGTTGCATATTCCTTTTTCCGTGCCTCATAGGCATGCATATCAAGCCATTCTTCAAAGTATTCAATGATAACCCACCCTTCAGATATATCTTCCAGACTTTGCAACCCATACCCCTTGGTGCCACAATTATACCACTCCAAGTTAGAATACTTCCGTCTGTGAAACTGTTGGTTTGAACCGTGCTTGCCATAGTTCTCTTGTGTATATAACTTGCTATTCAATTCAACTGCTGGGCTGGGCTCAATCCTCGAATACACAACCCACTTTGATAGTTTTACTGATTCACCTTTGGGTCAGTTGGTATACCATGCAACCGGTGCATGGTGAGCACCATGCACCCATGGTTGTATGAAATGTAACTCGTGTGATTCGAGATGTAACTTCAAGTTAATCAAAATGTAAATTGCACTCATTCACATGTAACTCATTGAAATGTAAACTGTTTTTATTGAAATGTAACTTGGGGAACAAATTAGATGTAACTTGGGATATGTAACTTTAGACGGTTGAAATGTAAAACGTTTTTACAGAGATGTAACTCCATATATATATATATATATATATATATATATATAAATGAGGCGTGGTCTGGAGCTGAAACTGGGTGTTGCAGCTGGGGATTGTGGTGGTATGATGCGGCAGTTGCATGGGCTGCATAGGGGGTTGTGGTTGTGGAGGGTGTTGGGCAACAATTTTGCAGGCTAAGGATGGGAGAGGGGCTGGGGGCTGTGAAGGTCATTGTTGGCCGGCCAGATGGCTGTGGCAGGTGGCCAGGGGTGAGGAGAGTGTTGCTGGTTTAGGCGGACGTGGTTGGGGAGGGCGGACGATCGCGATTTTTGTGTTGTTTTGCGACCGGGCACACCATCCTCATGGTGCGCCGGTCGCACGGTATAAATTGCGCCTTTGGGTGCATCCCCTTTTGCTAGGGCATTTGCGTAACCCATCCTAGCACTCATCTTGCTTATTGCAACAGAAGTATTCTTGTTGTGGTGACCCTGCGTGATTGAAGGGAAGTTTATACCAGAAACAGCTGGAAAATAGCCTTTTTGGTCATTTGAGATGTAGACTAGATAATAAGGAGCAGAAATTCCATCTTCATCCTGGGGGTTAAAGATTACTTGAAATGCAGTAAAAGAGCATCCCAGAAGTCGATTGTTGATCGTGCACTGCTGTTTTAGCCTCTTCATCATTAATAGCAAACTTTCCTCCATACACAACCTCCATCCAGGCTACAAGACCTCCCTGCGAAGACACTGCCCCAAGTGGAACTTTTGCATCTGATTCCCTAGAAAAGGGGTAAGCATGGTTCTCTTGTGCCTCTGGAACAGTCCTACTTTTACCCTGGTGTATGATTCTGAGAAGAGGTAAATCAGATGAGTCAACCTTTGTAAATGCTAAATATTTGATGTCCAGTGACCACCATAACCGCCATAACTCACTCCTTCTGTCCATCTTCTCCAGGGATATATTTTCAGCAAGATCATGCACAATTACATTTAATTCCCTTAGCACCAGATTTTAATTGATGGAAGTTGCTGCAGTGAAGGTTCAGTACATTAAGTTCACTGTCCTTCCCAAATGCAAGTTTGCTCCCATCAGCAAAACCTCCCTAACATCTTCACCAACGATTAAGGGATGTAGGACGAGACCAGGAATGTGGTTACTGATAAGCATCAGATACATGAAAGCGTCAACATCATTAGCATATCCAACATCCTTATAATTTCCTGTAATTCGTACCCCCAACCTATTTTGAACCCACCTCATAGAAGTAACACCATCAAATTTGAAACCCTCCAACTTATTCAGCCCTTCCAAAATTCCCCTTGATAAATGACTGTGAACAATATTCATTAGGACACCCAACTCCAGTTCATGAACTCCCCCAATCACAAATTATTAATATTCTGTATGTCGGTCTAGTGCACTAGCACACCTCCGAGTATCATAGGTAAGGATATGTGTGTGAGACCGGCCTTCTTTATCCTCTCCTAGTGATAAAAAACTTCCCATGAATAAATTACAATGCCATAGTTCTCTAAGTCATCCTTTTGTTCTGGGTCACTTTCCCAAAGCTGGCAACCCTTTTTAAGTACTGTGAAGCTTTTGGAATGGTTTCTAGAAGCAGAACATAAAAGAAGCGCTGAGAATTACCAATTTTCCATTTGAGTCCCAAATCATTACAGTTCCACGGCAACATGTGAATGATAGAATTATTTGTAATAGCAGGGTTGGTCTTGTACAACTTCAACAGCCAACAGAAATTGTGCACAACAGTGCTGCCATCCGATGTCAGATTCTTTAACAGCCAAGGCACCAAGTCCAGGAAGTTTTTTTCTCCCCTTTCCTTTATAATAGAGCCAATAGCTCTTATAGCCACAAAACAAACTCCAGGGATAAGAGCCTGAGGAACTTCCGGCTCAAAACACTCTGCGTCTCTGCCTGTTCTCCTTTTTTCCAGGGTCACCAGCAACGACCACGGACAGCGGCTTCGTCTTCAGAGAAGAATTATCAGCTTCTCTAGCAGAATTTTGCCCTAGATTGGCGGCCCTCTGAACATCCTCAGCACTGTTAGGACCCAACTGCACCCTCTCTTCTACCTTTTCTCTGGCGCGCGAAGAAATAATACCTTCAGTGGAAGGTTGCAGCTGATTATCCGACTCCTGAGGGAACGTTGGAATCTGCGAACGGTGAGTAGCAGCTCGCGATATAACCTGTGAACTGGGGACATCTGCTCGTGGCAAAGCTGGGGAACTTGTAGAAGTTGCTTGTGACTGAGACAAAACCTGCACACTTAGTGATGATGCCTACGAACTGGGAAAAAATAATAGCGACGAACTCTGCGACGTGTGAGAAGATCTAAGTGACTGAGACGACACCTGAGAACTGGAAGCTACTGTTTGCAATGAAGCTGAAGCGGTTTGCGATGACCTCTGCGAACGGGAAGCTTCTCCTCTTGATCGCATCAGACTTGGTCGTGAACTGCTGGCGGATGATGAAGTTCGCGATTGCAAACTGTGAGACGAAGTTCGCGACTGCGAACTGGAAGAAGCCATTCGCGTTTGCGAACTAGGAAGAGCAATGAACGATGATACCTGATTTTCAGTTGGCCGACGGCGTCTGGGAGGGCTCCTCGCTCGGTCTCTAGGTCGCCTGCGACGACGTTTACATATCTCTTTTATTCGACTCCACATCTCTGCCGCCCAATCAGCGGAGTATTGTTGATTTTGTTCGACCTTTTCCTGTTTATTCTCCATGTGCGAACATTTCTTGCGGATCGAAGTGCTCTGATACCAATGTTAAGAACTCCACCAGCACAGCAGGGAACTAGTAAGATATTGATTAAGAAATCTGGAGCACAGGTTTACATGCACAGAAATGGCGGAAATGAAAAGAAATAGAAAAACAGGTTGGGACTCTTCGAGAGGTCCTGCTCTCCCAGCACAATTCTAACAAAATTCCAGCCTAACTCTTATTCCTTACATAGCTTCTATTTATACTACTCTTAAAAGTTAATATAACTTTTAATAACACTACTCTACCCAGGTCCCTATCATCTTATTACCTACCAGCACATTTCCTATCATCTTAATTCCTCTCCCTCGTTCCCTTTACCCTTGATCTGAAATGGGTTCCTATCCACTCTCATAACAAGCAATCATCCTCGTCTCTTCTTCGCCTTATTTGTGCCTATGATGATGCTAGAAAATACCTTTATGCTCAGGTGTATGGGGTAGTGACTGGTGATGTAAAGATGTGATATGTTGTGTGGGGTGTTGGAACCCTTAACCGTGATGGTCTCAGCCTACTCCATAACTGTAAACACACCCCATTCTTTGTCAGTATGAAAAATGAGAAATAGAATACCTGCTTCCATACTATCACAATTGGGATGAAGTATTTAGATATTATGAAGCGTAGGCACAAGGAAATGTGCATAAATTACAAGAACATTTATATGCCTTTTGAGTCTTGCTTCCATTCTTAGTTTGAAGTACTGAATATAATTATAATTGTAGTGTTCTGGTCCAAATCCTTCAGCTTATTTTGATATTACTTTTTCCTAATGAAACACCAGGTCTTCTTGATGCTGAAGGTTTACAGATTTATGCACTGTGCTTGTGGAAACTCGGAAACGATAATCTTTCTTTATCAGTGGCAGGAAAACTTGCGGAAAATGTTTCATCCATGAATCAGTCATTGGCGGCAACATCTATTAGTTTTATTTGTAGATTGCGATATCTGATATCAGGGCATGATGCTTCTGTTTTATTCTTATTGAAACTACCAAAGGGATTATTACGAAGTCCAAAAGTCAGTTTTGTAGCATCAGCTATTGTTGCATTAGATCACAGGAATCAGCTTGATTCAGCTATTTCAATCACTACTAATTCAACTGTTTCGGTTGAAGAGCATGCTACAATGGATTGTCTAGCAGCAATGGGTGAACTAGTAAGCTTTTGTATCACATGAAGTCTAATTTTACCTTTATGTGCATATGCTTAATAGGAATTTTATTTCCTTTTGGTGGTGCAGTTGAAACATGGATCTAGGGATTGCCTTGGATTTAAGGAAGGACTTCAGTATGTGCGCAAATCACTGCATATATATCCCAATAGTCACTTGTTAAGGTAATTCAATTAGTTGTCCTTGTTATGTGGGCTACTTTTCCATTGTAGACCACCTCTGCTGGAGGAGTTGTTTGTTAGCTTTATCCATATTCTGCTTACAAGTCAAAGTCATCTAAACGTTAATTAGGCATCTTATGGAACTTAATATAGAGAGTTGAATATCAGGTACATTTTCTCATATCTTGATTGAATCACTCATGTACATGATACTTGAGCTGGACATAAGCGGGTTACTTGTTCAGATATACAATTAGTTGGCAGCACACTTAGAAGCTGTTCCGTTCACCTGATCTGAATGTTTCTGATCTGAATTTTTTAAGTTCTGATCTGATCTGATCTGAATTTTTCTGATCTGATCTGATCTGATCTGAATTTTTCTGATCTGATCTGATCTGATCTGAATCTTTCTGATCTGATCTGAATCTTTCTGATCTGATCTGAACGTTGCTGAACTGATCTGAATGTTGCTGATCTGATCTGATCTGATCTGAATGTTTCTGATCTGATCTGAATGTTTCTGATCTGATCTGAATTCTTCTGATCTGAATCTTTCTGATCTGATTTGAATATTTCTATAATTGTAATTATAATTATAATTATTAGATTTATAATTGTAATTAAAAATATAACTTAAATAAAATTACAATTATAATCATAATTATAAAAAAATAATAATTAAAATTAAATTTAAAATTATAATAATTATACCAATTACACTAATTATAAATACAGATACAATTATAAGTGTAATTATATTTTTAATTATGATTAATTTTATAATTATTATTTTTGTAATTATAATTATAATATTTATCTCTATAATCATAATTATATCTATAATTACTAATTTAAATATATAATTACTCCGAAGTAATAATAATTACAAAAATAACAACAAGAACAACAATCATATTAATAATAATGATGATTATAATTATAATTACATTGTAAATCATAATTATAATTATAAATATATTATATTATATTATATTATATTATGTTATGTTATGTTATGTTATGTTATGTTATGTTATGTTATGTTATGTTATGTTATGTTATGTTATGTTATGTTATGTTATGTTATGTTATGTTATGTTATGTTATGTTATGTTATGTTATGTTATGTTATGTTATGTTATGTTATGTTATGTTATGTTATGTTATGTTATGTTATGTTATGTTATGTTATGTTATGTTATGTTATGTTATGTTATGTTATGTTATGTTATGTTATGTTATGTTATGTTATGTTATGTTATGTTATGTTATGTTATGTTATGTTATGTTATATAATATTATATTATATTATATTATATTATATTATACGGTAGTATTATATTATATTATATTATACGGTAGTATTATATTATATTATATTATATTATATTATATTATATTATATTATATTATATTATATTATATTATATTATATTATATTATATTATATTATATTATATTATATTATATTATATTATATTATATTATATTATATTATATTATATTATATTATATTATATTATATTATATTATATTATATTATATTATATTATATTATATTATATTATATTATATTATATTATATTATATTATATTATATTATATTATATTATATTATATTATATTATATTATATTATATTATATTATATTATATTATATTATATTATATTATATTATATTATATTATATTATATTATATTATATTATATTATATTATATTATATTATATTATATTATATTATATTATATTATATTATATTATATTATATTATATTATATTATATTATATTATATTATATTATATTATATTATATTATATTATATTATATTATATTATATTATATTATATTATATTATATTATATTATATTATATTATATTATATTATATTATATTATATTATATTATATTATATTATAACAATAATTTTATATTATTAACATTATTATTATATTATTATTAATAATATTATTATATTAATATATTAATATTATTAACAATAACTATAATATAATAATCATAATTAATATAATAATAAAAGTGATAAATCATGTTTGATTTTTTTGATCTGATCTGATCTGATTGTTTCTGATCTGATCTGAATGTTTCTGATCTGGTCTGAATCTTTCTGATCTGATCTGAATGTTGCTGATCTGATCTGAATCTTTCTGATCTGATCTGAATGTTTCTGATCTGATCTGATCTGATCTGAATCTTTCTGATCTGATCTGATCTGATCTGAATTTTTCTGATCTGATCTGATCTGATCTGAATAAAATAAGATTAAGGAATAAGTAATAAGATTAAGACGAACGGAACAGCTTCTTAGTTCAAATTTACATTTTCTCTCTCTTCAAGTCTGTGCATTTGTACTCTAAAGTTTTGGACAACATATACCTCGTGTCATATTTGTTTTGAGATTTTCTGAAATTTCAGAAACCTTTACAAGGCTACAAAGTCATTTTCCCCTTCTAAAGACAATGTCTAATGTTTCTTACCCGAATCACCCAATCTTATGTCTCAGTTATGGCTTATTGTCTACAGGAATCTTCTTGGCCATCTACTGTTATTAAGCACAGAAGGTATACATCTTCACACTTCAACTAGATGCATTATCATGGACCCTTCTTACCACCCAAATCCTGATGATAAAAGATCTGCACTTGCGATTCTTGGTGCTGAGGGAGTAGCTTGCCATGCCTTACGATGTGTGTCACTCACACAATGCAAAGAGAAGCCTACATCTAGATGCAATACTGTGCAGCTGTTACAGAAGTGTGTTGATCTATTTCCTTACATCTTGAAACCTTCTTTATCATAATGGTTCTTTTGTTTCCAACAGCTTGCCTGATGCTGAACTTTTTGTTTCACTTTGATAATCATAGTTTTTTCTGCATGCATAGATAGACATTATAATTCTACATTCATTCTAAAACAAAAGGATGATTGGTTGATGTATAACTTTTTATATTGTGGTAAAGGACATAAGGTACACCATCAATCATGAACCTGTTGATATTTTTATGTTTGTTTGTTGATTTTATTAAATTTCTTGGGAATAAGGCTTGGATGTTTTTGTTGTTGTTGTTGATTTTATTAAATTTATTTTATGTAACATTTTTGTGACTCTTTTGGTAGTTTTTGGAAAATCACTTGAAAAACAATTATCTTAATTGCATCAAACTGGTCTTTTGGGACAATTGAAGTGTTCGAACAGGACTCTTTTTTGCATATAAGGAGTATTTCATTTTGGTTGTTAATACAGAATATACTTGGAATTTTTTAATTTACAGGTACTTGCATCAAGAGCCATGGAATCAAAGTACACGGTACTTGCTCATAGCTAACTTCTTTCAAAGGACTAGAAGGGAGAGATTTCCTCATTATCTATGTGCAGCACTTGACCGGCTTACTAGTTGTGTGCTTTGTAATGAGTTTTATTCAATAAAGGACCTTGCTCATCAGTATCAGAAGTTCCAGCTCTTACTTATTGCAGCTGAGGTCAGTTTGCAATGTGGGAACTACTCTAACTGCATCACGAATGCTAAAACTGCTACGAATCTATCACTACCCAATCAGTATATGTTCTTTGCTCACTTGCTTCTATGCCGTGTGTATGCTGTGGAAGAGAATCCTGTGAAATTATCTGATGAATATCTGAAATGCTTGGGGCTTAAAACTGGTTGTCATATTGGTTGGATTTGTCTTCAGTTTCTTGAATCGCAATACAAACTATACACAGATTCCACTGCATTAGCTTTAAGAATTGAGGAGCACTCAAAATATGTGAGTCATTCATGGAACCCTTGGCTAGCTATATTCAACTTGGTGCATGGTCTGAGTGCAATTTGGACTAGAGATTTCTCTGGTGCAGAAGAATATCTTTTACAAGCTTGCTCATTAGCCAGTGGCGAGAGCTTCCTATTTCTTTGTCATGGTACACTCCTACTCTAAATATATAATCCCTCCGTTATTAAACAGATGACTATAAATTTTTCACGGAGATTAAGAAAAATAGTAGGATAATGAGTATAGGTTAGAAAAAGCATGAAAGAGAGGAGAAGTAAAAAAGTACAGGATAGAAGGAAACAAGTAGGAAAAAGAATATGAACAGTAAGGTAGAAGTTGGCCAAAATGAAAATGGGTAAAGAAGTAAAAAACATCATAAATGGAATAAGGGTCATCTTTTCAGGAACAGAAGCAGTTTGTGTGAGAGTGTGTATGTGTACATATGTATGTGTGCTTGTCTGATCTATCTTTGTGCTCACACATGTTTGTGCATGTCTTTGTGAGAATAGGTTTGTATTCCCGAATGTGTATATAGAAAGTATCCTTGTAGGACTTGGTTTTCTTGTGTTTCCTAATTAGGATCTTATTCCCTTATGTTTGCTTGTTTCTGTTTCCTAATCGGATTAGAGTCCTTGTAATAATTTCCTATAAATACTGTGATCAACAACATCCTAGACCAGAGACTTTGTTCCACTTCCACTATATCATGGTATCAAGAGCATAAGATCTTGACATGTTTTTTACATCTCCTTTTCTATTTGCTAAAAACAACCATCTTGCATGCTGCCAAATCTCTCTTCTAAGCCATATCAGCAGATCCCATTTCCCAAGGCAACGAAACAGCCACACCACTGCTGCTCTCCTCCACACAGCTTCACCTGGCTCGACCCATTAGCAACAGACACAGCCTGATACCCCTTACTTTCTACCCACAACAGGTACTTGTAATTCTGAGTTGTGTATATAGAAACTACCCTTCTAGAAATTGGTTTGCTTGCTTAATCAGGGTCCTATTGTTCCTACATACTTAGCCTGATACCCTTACCCTCGACGCACAACAGGTACATTACCATTCTTGGGCATAACATTTCCAGGTTTCTTCTCATGGCTTCTGCATCCCCGATCACATGGATGGAAGTACTTGTATTTCCACCATCTCTGGTGCCAAGTGGGGTCAGTTGGATTATATTCTCCTCTCCTGGATATTTCGAGTACCTTAGTTTGACAATTCCTGATCCTGGCTCTACCGCCCTAATGTTTGTGTGTGCATCAGATATGTCTCCCACAACAAGAGCAGCTGGGCGGCAGTTTTAGAGAGTCGATTTATCCACACATGCTCAGAAGTTCCGTCCATCTGACCGTCTGCCTATTGCCATCTGTTCAAGGCGTTGGTGGACCAACAACCCGACATTGACCAATCTAGCCCTGATCAACATTTGGTGCTTCAACTCATCTGTGAAATATATTGTCAGCATATTGTACAGTATATGTATGGCAGTAGAATTTATGTAATTAGACAACAACTAGGCCTGCATTACTGTATGACGTAGAGTGTTGGGCGGTGAAACAATGTCACATTCAAAAGATTTGTGTGGCAGAGATGCACATGCTGCATAGGATGTGTGGACATACTAGAAAAGACTGCTTGAGGAATGAGACAATTAGACAAAAGGTGGGAGTAACACCTATTGAAGATAAGCTGAGGGAGTCTTGATTGCGGTGGCTTGTTCTTGTGCGTAGAAGAGGCGGGGAGGAGAGGGCGATGAAGACCCAAATAGACGTGGATTATAGGAGTGAGGAGTGAAACGCTTCTTCTTGGGTTGAGGAGTGATATGCTTCTTCTTGGGTTGGATGATTGTATGACTGGAGAGAGCAAAGTGGAGTAAGGGTATTCGTGTGACGGATTGATCTCATATATATATATTCTTTTTATCCATTTATTTCATCATTTTTATTTATATCACTATACCTTATTTCTATTTCATATTATCTTTTTTATCTTTTTGATCATACGCTCAACCTTATCTTTTTATTTTTCTTATCTTTCTTTTTCTTTTGACTCTGATATCATGTTGTTAGCCGACTCCAAAATCTTTTGAGACTAAGGCTTGGATGTTGTTGTTGTTGTGTAGCATGAGAAGATTGTTTTCTTTATTAGTTTAACCCTAGTATCTGAAAATATATTCCATTCTCCTATATCATATGTTCAACATGATATTAGAGCATTAATTTGTTTTTTTACGCAATCTCCTAAAAAACTTGCGCAGCTTCTTTGTAAGAGCCGCCCACCAACTTGGTAAGAGCCTTCATTTTTTCCGAAACATCCTTTTCGGTGACAGTCCCAGCAGTTGCATTGATAGAGAGCGAGAAGAACATGGGGCAGGACCGGGCTTGGGCCCACTTCCGTGGTCCGGGTTAGGGCTGTCTTTATAGTTTATTTATTAGTATTAAGTTAATGTTATGTTTTGATTTGGGCCTATTATTAGTAGAGTACTTAGTAGAAGTAGTATGGGCCTAATTAGGATTTAATTAATTTGGGCTTGATTAGGGTTTCTTGTAGAAGGCTATTTATACCCCTCGCCAGGGTTCATTCTTATTATCTTGGAATAAAATTGGTTTTAGCCTTTTAGCTCCGAGCAACGGTATTTTTTATCGTTGATTATCTGGGCAACGGTTTACCCCATTGATTTTTATTTTTCTGTTTCACAACAATTGGTCCGACTTGCCGGATCCCGTCCCGCCAAGATGACGAGATCTCAAAACAATCGATTGACAGAGATGAAGACCGAACAGAATCGCATGAGAGGAACAAGCCCGATTGGGGGCTGAGCAAGCCCGAATGGCGATCGAGCAGAATCGGATGAATCACACCCTCGAAGAACACGGTATGAAGCTGGCAGAAATCGCCGCCTCTCTGGCCGCGCTAACTCAGGCCCTGGTGCCGCCTATCTCGCCGGATGTTGCCGCGGCTGGGGTCGGAAGTGCCACAGTGACAGCTCCTAATGGAGGCGGACTGTTGCGCAACCCAGCTCCAACTTTGTTACCCATGTTTGACGGATCTGACCCGATCGGATGGATGGCTCGTGTCGTACAACAATTTGAATTAATCGGAACCCTACCGGAGAAAAGGTGGCAGCTGCTGTGGTGGCCATGGAAGGAGGAGCCACCACAGCACGCAAACCCGATATGACCTGGGAAGAATTTAAGCAAGCCCTGGTGGTCAGATTTGATTCCCGATTTCAGGGGAACAAGTTTGAACGACTATCCGGCGTCAAACAAATAGGGTCTATGGAGGATTACAATACCTTGTTTGTTCAACTGGCTAGCCAAGTTCCGGGATTGACCGACGATCACTATTTGGGATACTATATGAATGGACTGAAAGAATCCATCCGAAGCTTGTTGCGCTTATTTCGACCAAATAGCTTGGAAGGGGTCATGGAATTAGCTCGCGATGTGGAGTACAATCTGACCGTCCAGAATGGAGGAAGTGGCAGCCCGAATTATAATCCTTCAGGTGTACGTTCTAGCAGCTTTTTAATGCCAAACACGAGACCTCCGTTGACTGCAAGTGGTGGCAACATACAAGGAGGAAATGACATCTTTTCGAAAGATAGTGGACAACCCCCGGGGACGAAGTCAGGACTGTCCGGGCAGCCTACTACATGCCCTCAGTTCACTCGACTTCCGCCGAAAGAGTTAGTAGAATTGCGGGCGAAGGGATTATGCTTTAGGTGTAAGAAACCATTTACACCGGGGCATGATTGTCCCTTTAAGCAGCTGCGGGTAATGATAGCTGAGGAGGATGAAGAGTTAAACCTTCAACAGCATGAGTACTGTGAAATAACCAGCAAGGAAAGGGTTCAGGAAAGAGAGAAAGGATATTTTCTAGTCTATTCTATGTCTGGAAATTTCAGCCCCCATCTGCGAGATTTCAACCTTGAAGACAAGGTTATTTTGAAGGATGGATTGATAGAGAGCGAGAAGAACATGGGGCAGGACCGGGCTTGGGCCCACTTCCGTGGGCTGGGTTAGGGCTGTCTTTATAGTTTATTTATTATTATTAAGTTAATGTTATGTTTTGATTTGGGCTTATTATTAGTAGAGTACTTAGTAGAAGTAGTATGGGCCTAATTAGGATTTAATTAATTTGGGCTTGATTAGGGTTTCTTGTAGAAGGCTATTTATACCCCTCGCCAGGGTTCATTCTTATTATCTTGGAATAAAATTGGTTTTAGCCTTTTGGCTCCGGGCAACGGTATTTTTTATCGTTGATTATCTGGGCAACGGTTTACCCCGTTGATTTTTATTTTTCTGTTTCACAACAGCGTACCACTGCCCATACGCGCTGACAAGAATTTCAGTCGAGGAGCTCTTTATTTTCTGGTAATGTTTGTTTCCAACTTTGCTGAACTTTAATTTCTTCTTCTCCCAGAGCCTTCATTGCCAACTTCAGTTTAAATATGCCTGACTCAACTTCCAACACGGGTACCTATAGTGGTTAACCACATACCTCTGTTAGTGCCTAAAGTTTGGCCCACGACTTTCTTGATCGCCCCATTCTTGAACTGGGTGAAGATGTGGCTAAAGTGTATCCGAGGGTACCATGATAGTCTGGGGTTCCTATGCATTTTAAAATTAGAAATAACAAACTTATTGGGTTTAACCATCTAATTATCTTGAAGAGAGCAAAACTATCAAATTTTACCTACACTCATTTAACTGATGAGTTGCCAAAAGAGGAGATTTGTAAGGCTGTCAATGATGTGGCTACATGACGATTTTAGGCTGTTCATTCATATTCAAAATTGCATGGAGAATGAGGTAGTGGGATATGTTGGCCCTTGTGATTCTGTGAAATAGTTGTTTGATTGTTTGGACTTATTTTATTCTGGTATGAAACTGTATCTATGAGGTTATGAGGCTTTTTACAGAGCCAAAGTGAATGGTAAGCCTTTTATGGCTTACTTTATGGACTTCAAGAACATGTATGCAAAACTTTACAGAGCCGAAGTGAATGGTAAGCCTTTATACCGTGAGCAAATTGCAGTTATGAGATTTCTTGTGGGTCCTCTGTCTAGTTTTCAAACAGCTAAGTCACAACGCCTATTTCTTGTCTTCCTCTTTCAGGTGCTTTCAGGTGCTTAATATGCCAATCTCTACTTATAATCCTTACATCTCTACCTCCAAACAATCCACCTGTTCTCATCACCTATCAATGTCGGCCTAAAAAAACCACCTACCCCACCATCTCCTCAACCATCACATAATGAACCAACCACTATCTCCCTGACCACCACTACAAATACCTCCATACCTACTGTGGACCCACATCCTAATCCACACCATTCTCCTCACAAACGTACCCATCCCATGAATTTCATCTTCATAAACAAGCCGATTTTGTTATTCAATCAACCTTACCTCATCATATTATTCCTACTTGTGCTTCCCAAGCGTTACAGGTACCAAAATTGAATGATGCTATGTTTGCAGAATTTGAAGCCTTGGTGACAGGGAACTTTGGAACATGTCCCAGTTTGCCCTCGTCAAAATGTTGTTGGATGTAAATGGGTCTATACTGTGAAATACTAATCAGATGGTTCCTTGGTCAAAGCTCGATTGGTTGTTAAGGGCTTTCATCAGTGCTTGAGATTTGATTATTCTAACACTTTTAGCTCAATAATCCATTTTTTAAAATTGTGCAATGCCTTACCGCAATAAAGCGCGCCTTTGGGATTTTTCACCTATTTACAATGGGAGGCGTATCACCGACTTGAGTAGAAATGTATCCCTAAGTGTGTAAATGGAAAGATTTTTCATCTGTGTTTTTCTAGGGTCATATTTTCATGTGAGTTTATTCTATCTATATCAGATCAGGATCCTTGTAATCATCGCACTTCCTCCGTTCTTATTTAGTTGCAATACTTTCATTTTCAAGTTAGACGACACATGAATTTCACCATTAAAATATTTAATTGGTTATTAGCAAATTCGAGCAGGGTGGATGAAATGGAAGAAATGGAAGAGTGCATTAGGATTTCTATGTGATCGAGGTATGATGACTATACTGAAGGTAAATTTTATCGGACAACAATTAGGCCTGCATTAATGTATAGCGTGGAGTGTTGTGTGGTGAAACAATGTCACATTCAAAAGATGAGTGCGGCAGAAATGTGGATGTTGCGTAGGATGTGTGGACATACTGGAAAAGACCGCATGAGAAATGAGATCATCAGACAAGGTGAGAGTAGCACTTATAGAAGATAAGATGCAGGAGTCTCGATTACGTTGGTTCAGTCATGTGCGCAGAAGACCAAGTGATGCACCTGTTAGACGACTTGAGAGGTGGGAGGAGAGGGAGAGGAAGACCTAAACAGACTTAGATTAGAGAAATTATAACTGATATGCTTCTTCTTCGGTTGGATGAGAGTATGACTTTGGAGAGAGCAAAGTGGAGGGCGCATATCCATGTGAAAGATTGATCTCTTTTCTCTCTTTTCACGCTCCTTTTCTTTTATCTTCTTTATATTTCTATGTTCTTATTCTCTTTTTATCTTTCTTATGTTCTTATGTTATTTTTATGTTATACTACCTCCGTTGAACTTTGCACTCTTTGAATTAGTGAGAAATAAGAATAGTAAAAATTGTGTGGTTGAGGTTTGTGCAGAGGAGAGAGAAATGAGCAGAACCACAAATACTTACTTTAATAGGAAAATGACAAAGTTTTTTGGGACAACCAAAAAGGGAAAGTTGGCAAAGCCCAATGTGATGGAGAGAGTATTGATCTTTTTCTTATTCATTTTATCTTTTTATTCTTCTTATCCTTCTTGGCTTCTTCTCTTTTTGGCTCTGATGTCATGGATCGTTTCATGTTAGCCGACTCCAAAATATTTTGGGAATAAGGCTTGGATGTTGTGTTTGTTGATGTGGCTATTAGCAAAAAAAATCAGTTTTTTGAAAATTTAAATCGAAACAAACGGAACAAAAATTTTTAAAATATGAATAGTGGAAAAGTCAACATGTTGCGAGTATTTAAAAATGCATGAAGTATATTAGTGCTAATAATAAAACATCCCAGGCAGGGAAGTTTTCTAACCTTAGCTGTTTTCCTAAATTGCTTAGGTTCTTTAAAGCTAATGCTTAGAAGTGGGATGCTGTTTATATCTAACTCAAATATCAGCCTTTACATTTATTTAAAAGGTTATACCTATCACTTCTGTTCATCTTTTGAGATGTTGATTCTTGGATATCAGATATTAACTTTAGGGATTCCTTGATCTATTTCCGAATTTTCTTTCGGATTGAAGTATCACTGATTACTTAGTCACATCACATGCCTACAATCTTTTAGGAATAAGGCTTTGATGTTGTTTGTTGATGAAGTATCACTCATTATCTTAATTCATGTTGGATTTTCTTTGTTCGTGAATGAGTTGTATCATGTATGGGGATTTAAAGAGTAAAAGAATTCAGGTGCCATCTGCATGGAGCTTGCCAGGCAGTATTGTGATTCAAAGTTCATAAAAACTGCAATTAGGAGCCTAAAGAAAGCTAAAGATGCAACTCCCGTTTGTATGCCTTTTATCTCACTGTTGTTGGCGCTATTAGAAGCGAGCCTTGGATCAAAGACAAAGTGGGTGAAGCACCTTCTTGAGGAATGGTCATGTTGGCCACCAGGTTTGTTTTATTGCTTAGAGCTCTATTTATTACTCTGCATATTACTTTTGATGTTTCTATGATGGTGACTGGTGTTGGTGGTTTATGCGAACTACAGTACCACTTATTAGCTGATGGCTGCTTTGCCTTGTATTTTCGATCCTGTAGAAATGAGGCCGGCTGAACTGTGCTTCCAAATGCATTTGGTTTCTAGATGGGCATCACAAGGTGGTGGAGAGGATTCGTCATCATCCTCGTTGTTGGAGGGTTATGCAAATCCTCCTATAAGAGCGATGCTCCAAGCTATCCACTTGAATCCGTCTTCTTCTAGATACCGGAGAGTTTTGACGAGTTAATTTCTAACTAGCGACTACTGATCACTTGACAGGCGGATGATGAGTAAATTAACTTCCTGAGTTACCTTTCATTAGATTTATTTGTGAGTAATAAGTATTATAATATAAGTTATAATTAATTTAATTGTCCACAATATTTACAAACTCTCAAATAATTCATATTGTTTAGTTCAATAATTTTTTTTATTATGGTGTAATACTTTCATGACTTGATGTTATCTGTACCAAAAAATCTAAATATAAGTGACATAATTGATCAACTTGGCATCTTGTAAATGTGAGTACTTATGTACTCGGTATAAAATTTTAAACATAGCACTGTTTGAAATATGTTTTAAATTTTGTGTAATTATTTAAGAAACATCTTGAAAAACTCCAAATCATATATTCCCATTTTTTTGACGGAGTGATATGCTATGACCTTAATTAAGTCTATAAAATGAGAACATAGTTGGCTAATGTACACTAGTTATGAGTAATGTTCTTGTACTGCTGACGCCGTTTGAGTAGCTTGCTAGTGGAATTATTTGATTAAATTGTGTACATGTTTTTCATTAAGTATAGATTATCTATACAAAATTTATAGATAATTAGGGATGTCAAAAAAATCCGACCCGCAATGACCCGCCCTGGCCCGAAACATTTGGGGTGGATCCGGCCCGCCCCGTCTTGCAAATGGGGCGGGTCCGCCCTGCCCCGCCTATACAATGGGGTGGGTCCGGGTATAAGTATTGACTCGTGCCGCCCCGACCCGACCCGCTCAATATATAAGTATACATACCTTTTCTTAAATTATACTAGAAATATACTTCAACATATATATTTGTGTATACAATAAATCAATTTTATTGATTTTATAATATATATATATATATATATATATATATATATATATATATATATATATATATATATATATATATATATATATATATATATATATATATATATATATATATATATATAGGAGTATTCAGGTCCGGCCAGGCCGGACCACTCCCCCGTCCGGCCACCTCAGTTTGAGGTGGTTCCCAGTGGTATTTTTTGCCCAAATTGTTTGTGTATGTTCCTCATCAAGTCTAGTTCATCTATACCAAATTTGAGCAAAAAATTCAATCGGGAAGGTTGTCAAATGATTTTTGCAAGTTCACTGCGTTTTATATGTATATTCCGGACCAGTTAACTTTCAAAAATCATTTGACGACCTTCCCGATTGAATTTTTTACTCAAATTTGCTATGGATGAACTAGACTTGATGAGGAACATACACAAAACATTTGGGCAAAAAATACCACCGGAAACCACCTCAAATTGAGGTGGCCGGACGAGCCTCCTGTCCGGCCTGGCCGGACAGGAAAAGGACTATATATATATATATATATATATAGGAAATCTTTCCGGTAAGGTATACCTTACCGGAGCCGCCGTGAGGCCTCCTCGTTTTGAGGGCCTTCCCGGTGGAATTTTTCGATGAAAATTTTTGAGCATGTTCTTCATCAAGTCTAGTACATCCATACCAAATTTCAGCAAAAAATTCAATCGGGAAGGCAGTCAAACGATTTTTGGAAGATAACTGCACTTTTTATATACATATAAAACGCAGTTATCTTCCAAAAATCGTTTGGCTGCCTTCCCGATTGAATTTTTTGCTGAAATTTGGTATGGATGTACTAGACTTGATGAAGAACATGCTCAAAAAATTTCATCGAAAAATTCCACCGGGAAGGCCCTCAAAACGTGGAGGCCGCACGGAGGCTCCGGTAAGGTATACCTTACCGGAAGAGTTCCCTATATATATATATATATATATATATATATATATATATATATATATGGATGAGTTCAAATGAGAAGACATTAGACATCTTAACGTGTAAAATGAGAATTAATCTTAGCCGTCCAAAGTGTCGATCTGATGCACAATAACCCATATCTGATGCACTTTCGAATAGACCTTATTTCGAAAAGTGCATCAAATAAAGTCTATTCGAAAGGGCATCAGATATGGGTTATTGTGCATCAGATCGACACTTTGGACGGTTGAGATTAATTCTCATTTTACACGTTAAGACTTTTTTTATTTGATCCAAATTATATATATATATATATATATATATATATATATATATATATATATATATATATATATATATATATATATATATATATATATATATATATGGGAACTCTTCCGGTAAGGTATGCCTTACCTTACCGGAGCCGCCGTGCGGCCTCCACGTTTTGAGGGCCTTCCTGGTGAAATTTTTCGATGAAATTGTTTGAGCACGTTCTTCATCAAGTCTAGTACATCCATACCAAATTTCAACAAAAAATTCAGTCGGGAAGGCAGTCAAACGATTTTTGGAAGATAACTGCGTTTTATATGTATATAAAGGGTGCAGTTATCTTCCAAAAATCATTTGACTGCCTTCCTGATATATATATATATATATATATATATATATATATATATATATATATATATATATATATATATATATATATAGGGAACTCTTCCGGTAAGGTATACCTTACTGGAGCCTCCGTGCGGCCTCCACATTTTGAGGGCCTTCCCGGTGGAATTTTTCGATGAAATTTTTTGAGCATGTTCTTCATCAAGTCTAGTTTATCCATACCAAATTTCAGCAACAAATTCAATCGGGAAGGCAGTCAAATGATTTTTGGAAGATAACTGCACCCTTTATATACATATAAAACGCAGTTATCTTCCAAAAATCGTTTGGCTGCCTTCCCGATCGAAGTTTTTGCTGAAATTTGGTATGGATGTACTAGACTTGATGAAGAACATGCTCAAAAAATTTCATCGAAAAATTCCATCGAGAAGGCCCTCAAAACGTGGAGGCCGCACGGCGGCTCCGGTAAGGTATACCTTACCGGAAAGATTTCCTATATATATATATATATATATATATATATATATATATGTAGGCCTAAGAATTGTAATTCTTAGGCCTCTTTCATTTGAGGTGCTTCCGGGTCGAATTTTTTGATGAAATTTTGTGAGCATATTCTCCATGGATTGGAGATGATGTCCACCAAGTTTCACAATAAAATTCAATCGGGAAGTCATTTAAATAAATTGTTGAAAAAAAACTGTATTTTATATATGTAAAAACCTGCGCAATTTTGAAAAAATTATTAAACCGACTTCCCGATTGAATTTTTTTCCGAAATTTGGTGGGCATAATCAACACTTCATGGAGAACATGCTCACAAAATTTCATCAAAAAATTCATCTCAGAAGCACCTCAAATGAAAGAGGCCTAAGAATTTCAATTCTTAGGCCTACCTTACTTGAATATTTTCCTATATATATATATATATATATATATATATATATATATATATCTATATATATGATAAGAGATCACATACTAACCATGCTTAAAATACTAACTTACTAACTCAATAATATGCAACACATTGAACTTCAATATGCAGTACAAATAATGTAAAGATGCACACTGTGAATTTCAATATGCAATAAAAACAATATGCAAAACTTTGAACTTTAATATGCACTACAAATAATATGCAACACTTTGAACTTCAATATGCAGTACAAATAATGTAAAGATGCACCCATTGAACTTCAATATGCAGTACAAATAATATGCAACACTTTGAACTTCAATATGCAGTACAAATAATATGCAACACTTTGATCTCACCCATCGTTATATATATAGGGGTGAGATCACATACTAACCATTCCTCCCATGCTAACCTACAAACTATCAAAAACGGTGCATCTCTACATTATTTGTACTGCATATTGAAGTTCAAAGTGTTGCATATTATTTGTAGTGCATATTAAAGTTCAAAGTTTTGCATATTGTTTTTATTGCATATTGAAATTCACAGTGTGCATCTTTACAGTATTTGTACTGCATATTGAAGTTCAATGTGTTGCATATTATTGAGTTAGTAAGTTGGTGTTTTAAGCATGGTTAGTATGTGATCTCTTATCTATATATATATATATATATATATATATATATATATATATATATATATATATATATATAATAGAGATCAAATACAAACCATGCTTAATTTACAAAGTACAAACTTATCTTGATCATCAATGAGTTGATCTAAAGGATATAATATATAATATATAACATCGAAGTTGATTTACAATAATTGAACAGGTATGAAAATTAAGATTTTTCTTCATAATCATAGAAAGAAACGAAACAAACATAAAAGCAATTACACCCACAGAATGAGTTGTCCAGAAAATTGAGGAAGGAAGCAACTCTGTATTACGATGAAAAACTATTGTATAGGGCAACGGTTTTGATTAAAAATGATTTATTAAGTAAATAAATTCCACACGGAACTTAATTTGGGTTTACGACTTTATGCATTGGAGGCTTTGCCGTAATGTTAATATCTAGTCATTGGACTATATATTATGTGGAATGGAAAGCCTTTTAATAATTTAACAAGTGACATAACTTATTTAGACTAGAACTTATCCATTCATGACACGTTACTTTACGATTAAGAATCTTAGATTAGAATTCCATCAATTCTACATCATCTTCTAATAAAAAAACTTCCTAAAGTTATAATGGGATTATACTACATAATTCAAAATTCTACGATGCATTAAAAGTTTTAATGCAAAATTCTACGTTGTATTTAAGGAAATTTTACGTAGAAATTTAAAAAATTCTACAAGTTCTACGTTACATTTAATTAAAATTTTAAAAATACAATTAGTAATTATGGAAATTTTATTGTGTTCAATTAGAATCCATCAAACTTCTATACAGTGAGAAAATAAACAATTTAGGAAAAGTAAACATATAAATTGAAAGTAATTAAAGGTAGATAAGTTGGGGGTGAGAAATTGTGAGACTTGACATGTAATGAGTATGGATGGACCGGGCCCGGGTTGACCATCCCGTTGACCGGCCCGGCCCGACGTGGTTTTGAATTGGCCCGAACCGATTGGCCGGGACCGGGCCTGACCTGGGATGGGTTTTGGGGCGGGTAACGGGCTAGAGCTTTTTTGGAACCTGCCGGCCGGTATGGGACTGATTTGGGCCCATTTTTTTCCTGGATGGGTCGGGTAGTAGGCGGGTTGGGCTGGGTGGTTTGCGGGTGTTTGGGCGTGGGGTAGGAAGAAATAAGGAAAACCAAAAAAATATACAAGACCCGACCCGCCGGGCCCGGAACCACCCCGGAAAAATATAATGAGTAGGAAAGAGAAATTTGACTAAAGAGTAAATTATTTCCTAAAATGGAGTGAGAACCTTTAAATGAGACATACACCCAAATAAGGAAAATGAGAACCTTTCAACGGGCTGACGGTTGTATGTGGTTCCTTACTCTTTTTACTCCCTTTCTGAATGCTAATGCTTTGATATCAATTTAAGCCGCCTTCTTCCAAAAAAAACTTAAGGTGTATGTATTCCAAATGTACGTAAAAAATGTATTGCACTTTTTAAAATCTTCTTTTTTTATTTGAAAAAATAATAATGTTTATTATTTTATCTTCGAGTCAAAATGGTGTAAACAAAATTAAATAAGCAAGAACACAATATTTAAAGTGTATTTGATAAAAAGTACATTTTCTTGAAAGCACAAAAAAGAACTTTACAAAGACTGAAATTTAAAGAATATTATGAAATTAAAAAATTTGTACAACTTTTCATTCATGCGTTAGAGAATTCGAAAAAATGTTAGAAATGGCTAGAATGTGACGAGAATCACTTTTCATAAAAGAAAAATAAAAGGATGAGTTTGTATTGCATGGGATAGATTAATTAAAAACATATTTAATAGAAAATTTCAGATCAATTAAAAACATCTTTAAAGGAGTACTCTATATAATTTAGAACTCCGTATCAGATTAGAATAAATCTCTCTAAAAATTCTACACATTTTAATGTCCCGATATCTAAAATCTTATAAATCTAAAATCTTATAAAGGCCAATGAGAATTAGGGCCTTTTAGGTATGAAAAATGTGTTGGTGAAACTTTATAGCAATAAGTGATTGTACACTACACTTTACACTTTATACTCTCCTTTCATTTTCCCATGTTTCTTAATTGCTCCGTTAAGTTAAGAAGTCTGCTCCGTTAACTTAAGAAGTCGAGACCTTCCTTCCCCTAACTCTATCACCGTTAATATTTGCATAAATCTCCATTAAATATTAAATTAATTATCACTTGATTTTACATTCTAATTTATGCATACTTGCGATCGAATCGTCGTTACAAATATATCATACGGAGTATATGGGTAGATGCACGTTTGTCTATCCTCCGTGTAAGGGCACTATTTAATTTTTTTTAAAATTATTTACTTATGTTTTTACTACAGAGCATTAATTTTAAGAACATGGATAATTTAATAGTATTGAATTACGAAATCATTATCATCATTTTTATACAGGTTGTGCATTCAATTCACTATAATCCTTATTTGATTACTGTACAGTTGACAAATAAAAAATTACATGTTTGATAAAAATATTGATGGATAAGGCTAACAAGTTGAAAAACAAGTTACCAAATGGACTCTTGATTAATTTTGAGGAAAATAGGTGACTTAATTAGGAAAATCTACCTAGTTGCTACTACATTCTTTCCCGTAACATTAGTACCAGAGAAAGTGGTGTGGTTACCCAAAAAGTGAATTTATGTGATTGATATTGAATTGATAAAGTGAAAATAAAGTAAGAATAATGATTTTAAACCACACAAACATTACCAAACTTGATATAATACAATCTTTGTGGAAGGACAAGAAAGGAAATATGAGACTATCTTAACTGAACGGAGGGAGTATTAAACGATTACTACTAAAATTGTTACAAGTTTATTTTATGTTAGTAATGTAAATACTTTGATCTTGTTTCTCAGCCTCTATTTTGACTTATCATACTAATCAAATACTGGTAACACGCTAAATTGGCTATTGTAAGATTGGTGTCACTTTTATGCTGAATTAGAAGAAAAAGTCTATTGTAATTATTTTTCTGTAAAGTATATGCTTTTATAATTCGACACATTTAGACAACTTTATCAGAATTTAATAAAATTTAACAAAATATGTCGATTCAATCAATTTCATTGTTATCAAAAGGATTATTCAAGTCCTGAGCTACAAGTTTTGTGAGTAATATGTTCTAGAGGGTAAAGTGAGAAGGAAATAAGTGTCAAAAGAAAAGAAAGGAGATGGACTCTTCTACAAATGTGCAGAAGAAGAGTATACTTCTTACGATAGTACTTTCTATCCTTCTCCACTACATTTTCTTAGGTCTATAAAAGTGTATCTTGAAATTACTCCATATAATATTTTGTTAAAAAAATAACCGCTTCTCATCTTAGTATGCCCCGATTTTGTTCCTAAGCACAAGCACTTTTCCGATAACAACTATCTTGAATGAATCAATAATAATACATACTTTGAAAATGATTTCTAATAATATCAACTATTTCAATAAACAACAAAAATAATATGAAACCACTTTTAGACTAGAAATTCAATCATTTAAGACATCAAAAACGTATTCTCAAAAAAAAAAGACATCAAAAACGTATATCAAACTATCAAATAAATGATAGTTGACAATATAATATGATCACTTATTTAATATTTTGACATTACTTTTTGATGAATTAAATGATTGAATTTTTAGTTAGGAGTTGTTCTATGTCACTTTTGTTATCTATTCAGATTCAGATAGTTGATATTATTAAAAGTAATTTTAAATTACGTATTATTTTTATTGTACCTCTCATTCGTATGTCGTATATTATCATGTGAAGGTATTATATTAGATCGAATGTGAGCCAACAATATTTAGTTATGTACTAGAGATTTATCACAATGTTAGTGATACTTTTTCTTTTGAAATTACAAAAATAGGGGCTAGCTCGTATGTGCATTTGCATTTTTTATTTTATTTTTGGGCCTCCCCCAAAAATGTTAAAAACTAAAACTAATCATATCAAATCAACACCTAATGTGTATATTTTCAAAAAAAAAAATCATTGGGCATTTTATTCATTGCGCAACGCGCATGTAGAAAACTAGTAATACTAATAAAAGTAATAAAGATGTTTTTGATTGAATTCAATTTTTTTAGCTGAAACATGTATGGATGCTTTTTAGAGTTATTTAAAACTAATATTTTTTATCGTTTCAAAAGGAATAGAGAATATTTTGAGCATTCTTTGTAATATATAGTTGGTGTGACATTACGAGTAATAAAAATTATAAATTAACTTAATGTGTATGCATTCCAAATGTAAAACAAGTATTGCACTTTTTAAAATCTTATTTTGTTTAAATATAATAAAGTTTATAATTTTATATTCAAGTCAAAATAGTGTAAACATAATTAAGCACAAACACAATATTTAAAAAAATTATTTGATAAAAAGATTTTTCTAAAAGCACAAAAACTACTTTTAAAAAGACTAAAATTTATAGAACATCATGAAATTAAAAAAATATGTATAACATTCCATCTGTGCGTTAGAGAATAAAAAAATGTTTGAGGTAGCTAGAATGTGATGAGAATTACTTTTTAAAAAAAGAAATTAAAAAGGGTAAATTTGTACTACATGGGTTAGTTTATTTAGAAATATATTCAATAGAAAATTTTAATTCAATTAAAAGTATTAAGCAAGAATAAAATATATTTAACAAAAAGAACTTTTAAAAAAACTGAAATTTAAAGAAGATTAAGAAGTTGGAAAAGATGTACAACTTTCCATCCCTAAATTAGAGAATTAAAAAAAGTTTAACTTTTTTTTAAGTTGAAGGTTTATAGAATGTGATGAGAAGCACTTTTAATTAAAGAAAATTAAAAGGGGTAAAATTGTCTTACATGAGTTAGATTTAGTAATTCTAGGGGAGCATAAAGAAATTCTCTATTTCGATGTGATGGTACCATGGATCGCAGCCAGGGCCCAAGATCGAATTAAAGCAAAGCACATTAACGAGATCAGCCCATTAATCGGGATTAATAAATAATAATAGCCAGCGGGCCTAACTAGGATCCTAACCCGCGAAAGCAACCCACAATCAGGTCAGACTAGACAACAGACCTCGAGCCTGGACGGAATTCTAGCGAGGTCGGACTTATCCCAGGGTTTATGTGGCAGGCTATCATTACGCGGCAGGGAATAACGGAAAAAACGTGGACCTAGAGGAACAATGATTGCACAATGTTCGAGACGTTACAGGACTCTATTGTAATTAATTGCATTGAATGTATTAGTTTCCTCCTAGAATACTAGAATCTAAGGTTTATAAATACTTCCTGTACACATCCTACCAAGGATCCGAATTCCGGAACAAGAATACTGCCTTACGCTGCCTAAATTTTATCTTCTCTCGTGAATTAAGCTCTCGTAGATGGATATAAGTATATAATTCCATCAAGATACATAGGCCCCGTTTGTAACACTGAAATTGACTGATCGAAAAAATCTGTTGATATTATGAAATTCAGGTTGAAGTGCCTGCATTGGCTAACTCATAAAAATATTATATTAAAAATGTATTTTGTTAATAAATTTAAGAAAAAATTACATGAGATATAGCTAAAATTGTGTCATACAATAAGTTTATGTCTCTACTTATCTGAACCATTTTGTACAATTTTACTAAGGGTCTGTTTGCAACAGCTTCTGCTTTTAAAAAAGTGCTTTTTTTAATGAAATAGGGAGAAGTGATTAAATAAAAGTTGATAGTGTTTGAGAAAAAAGTAATTTTGAAAAGTAAAAGTGAGTAGTGTTTGGTAAAATAAGTGCTTTTTGTGTAATAGAAAAAGTAAAAGCACTTTTGACGCGGAAGCCGAGAAAAATAAAAGTTGTAGTGTTTGGGAAAATAAGTGCTTTTTTAAAGCCAAAAGCTGAGAAATGCTTTTTTAAAAGGAGTTGCAAACCAACCCTAACTTTTGCTGATTGAATTCACTTGTGTTAGGGTTGGTTTGCAACTGCTTTTAAAAAAGCACTTCTCAGCTTTTGGCTTTAAAAAGCACTTATTCTCCCAAACACTACAACTTTTATTTTTCTCGGCTTCCGCGTCAAAAGTGCTTTTACTTTTTCTATTACACAAAAAACACTTATTTTACCAAACACTACCCACTTTTACTTTTCAAAATCACTTTTTTCTCAAACACTATCAACTTTTATTCAATCACTTCTCCCTATTTCATTTAAAAAAGCACTTTTTTAAAAGCAGAAGCTGTCGCAAAACAGACCCTTAATTATATGAACTCATCAGCTCATCCTCCACCACCTCACCTCTCACGACTTCCATTCATCGCCGCACGGATACTACAGTGCAGCGTTTTGTAAGCGTAGTCGCCGTCTGTCTGTCCTCTGTCACGCGAGTTCCAGTCCAGACCCGCTCCAAATACGCTAGCCTCTCGGTCGATCAGGCAGGTACGTTGCCACGCTCCGCTAAATGTCTCAGATTTTAATCTAAGTATATGAGCCTATATAGTATATACTTAACCGTATGCAAACCTTTCTCTCAAAAGTGATTTAGATTTGACCGTATGCAAACCTTTCTCTCAAAAGCGATTTACATTTGACCATGTGTTAGTTAATCCTAAAATGGATGATTTTATTGTTATCATTATATTGTAAATATTACTGGAGCGGTAATTGTTTTATAGTGGTTGAGGGTTTATTCTTATTGCTTCCTTGTGCTTGGTTGTCAAAGAACGTAGTGCGATTTGTTTGCTTGGAGTTTATACGTGAATACTGACTTTCCTGCAGTATGTTGAAATCTTTATGTATTCTGCATAGCTTGAAATCAGGTTGCTTTTGATTTAATGTTATAATAATTTGAAGTAGTCGATTTGACACTATTCAACTCAATTTGAGTAATTGGCCTCATGTTTATCATCCTATTATTTAGTTTGACATGTCGGTATGGTCAAGCTTCAGTAGGGCTATGGGAGGAGGAGGGGGTAGGGGTAAAGGTAGGGGACACGTTTCGGTGGTGCAAAGTTACGATATTCCAATTATTGAAGAATATTACTCTAATGAGGGGGAAAAGATTGAAGCTGAACAGGGTATGAACGAAAATCGGTCATCAACTCCTGAAGGCCACCATGAATCAGCTGCCTCTGCCATGGAGTATAATAGCTGAAAAAAATATTTAAGCAACTTCCTGCGCTTGGATTGTCATACATAGGAAAACATTTACTGAGAAACGTTCAGTTAATTACTAAAAAAGTTGTTTAATGTCTATATTTTCAAAGAAAAGAGCATTTATAAAGAGTTATTTAATTGTTTAAAAATTAATAACATCTCAATAAAAGTTACAACTAAAAAAATCACTGATAATAAAATCCGCAATTTAACTTCTGCCATTATTTATTCAAACTATATTCATAACCATTACTCGCAAAATCTTTGAATGGATCTGTTTTATAAAATCAAATACTACGTATGTAACTGTTCCTCAAAATTTGGAAAAGGCAAAGTCTGTATTCTTAGTCTATTTTAGACTACAATTTTTTTACTTTCTATATTTTCTTATTTATTATGTTTAAATTTTATGCCACACATCCTATATTAATAATTAAATTAAATTTATATCGGGTGCATCGCACAGGTGAAATATGAGCGGGTGTAAAATCAAATTCCTTTTTTGCCACGATTAGGATGTGAGTGTATCTAATTTACTGAAATCAGTCTTGCACCATTTTTGTTTATCTGAAGAAAATTCCTTTTTTGCCACGATTAGGATGTGAGTATCTGATTTACTGAAATCAGTCTTGCACCATTTTTGTTTATCTGAAGAAAATTAGCTTGATAAGCTAAAGTGCCTCACTTCCATTGGACATTGCTATTCTATTCAGCTTCTCCCTCTCCCTTCCAACACAATCTGCCATCAGGTATGTATTCATCGTTCTTTCTTGCGTTCTTTTTTGTTCTTCTTGTTTAGACTTAGAGTTTAAATCACGATTTCTCTATTGCTTCCTCCTCCCATGGTTTCTCCTTTTTCTTACAATTCGTACAAATATTCCAAGGTTCCTATTTTTGGAATCTAATTATTCTTGTTGTCGCTGCAAACATTCCGAAAAAGCACTTCAGTTCTTGAAAAATTCACCCTCGACGGTCATCCGTCATGCCTATGAATTTTTGGTACTGTTTGTTTTAGGAAACCTGATATGCCAACATAGAAGTGTGTTTTGCATTGAAGTTCAGTGGTTCTTAGCTTTTATTGTAAATTATGCATTAATAATGTTCCTTAGTGTGAGTGGCTTAAGCTTTGATGCTCCCGTGTGAAAACGGATCCATTCATGGACTTCTCTATTTCTTAATTCCTCTGAGTATTTGAGCTTTTCTGGCTAGCTGTCATGAATGGTAATGGGAAAAGGGAAGGAATAGAATTTTGGACTCTCAGGCTTATTATCCGAAATTCATCTTCTTCCGCCAAGACCACGCGAACGTTGGTATATCATCAATCAGGCCTGTTCCTTGTTCTTACCACTTGCTGTCATTCGAACGGATGAAAATTTTCAACTTTCTGCACTAAGCCTTGCCAGACGAATCCCAATCCGTTTGACTATGAAAGCCAAGGTAGTCAAAAGCGAGCGCCTGAGCTCTTAAGCGCACCAGCCGCAGCACAAATGAGGGTTAGCGACTGAAGAATGGCCAGGCGCAGCTCCCTGTCTAAAGCGAAGTTTAGGCGCAGAAGCTGAGAAAAGTGCACGCTTAAGTCGCCTGGGCTGGGAAAGGCTCATCAGCCTACTTTTTTTTTTGTTTGATCTTACTTTAAATAATAAGCCCATACCAACGTTTAAAACTGCGCAACGCCTTTGGGCAATGAGGCGCGCCTTGCAATTTTTAGAGACTCTAGAGTACAATGCTGAAACGGAATAAGGCAATATAAAAGTCTGCGCCTTTTTGGAAAAGGCATACGCTTATTGCGTTAGCCATATATCGGGTGTTGAGGCGCACCGCAGATATTATGATGTCTGCCCCAGCCCAAACTAATTTAATTAAAAAAAAACATACGGTAGACGCGCAGGATATAAGATAGCGTCTAATTAGCGACTTCTGCAACTTTGTACTTCCTGCTTTGTAAAGGATGGCTGCTTTCATCCTTTTCTTCACGGTATGTTTCTTCTCTGTGCCAGAGAAGAAATCTTCTGCAATCTTCTCTCTGCTTTCATCCTTTTCTTCACAGTATGGATTTAGTATTTTATTTATTTATTGATACATGTTTTGTGGACAGGAAAAAGGTAATCCACTACTCCGTAGTGGATAATTTAGTGCATGAGTATTATAATAATTTTTTAGCTTCTTTGTGGTTAGTGGAGCTGTGGATGAATATTATTGATCCTTCCTTGTTACGGAGTATTTAAATACATAGTGGCAGGATATAATACGTAGTGGATTGTTTTGACACCTTAATACGTAGTGGATGCAAAATATTATTACTCGGCAGTATATATTTTTTAGTATGTTTTTTGTACACACTTTATTATCATGTCTACAAAACAACAACATCCAAGCATTAGTCCCAAAAGATTTTGGGATCGGCTAACATGAATCAATACATGATATCTTAACCAAAAGGAAAAGAAAAAAATAAGAAAAATAAAAAGATAATTTATGATAAAAAAGATAATATAAAAAGAGATGGATATACATAAAAATGATAGAATAAAGAGGATCATATATATATATATATATATATATATATATATATATATATATATATATAATGATAAAAAACAAGAAAGAAAAAGAATATGAGGGGGGAAAGATGAAATAAATCATGTCTGCAGAAAATAAATCAGACCCAGCGTGGCGACATCGGGAAGAACTAAATAGACCAGGGTTACAAGGGAAATCGTACGAGTACCTTAAATGCAACTATGATTGTGGTCAAGAAACTACTTGATTAATCATTCTTTTACTTTAGTATTTAGTATTAATTACATTATTTGCATTTCTTTTATATAAATTTGTGATTAATCGTTCTTTTAGATAAGAAACCGCCTCAAACACACAATACGCAATTTAGAACCTTGGCCCATATTGATAATAAGATTTAGCCCGGTCCAAATAATATAAAAACAACTTAAACCCATGTTAAACTCTTCTTAGTCGTGGGAAAAGTCTTCTCTCTTGAGTCTTGACTTCATCGTGACTCTCCTATGCTGCTATGTGCTCTACTTGCGGAACATGCTCAGTACTGAAACCCATAAAGTGTCTTCTTCATCATCATCATCATCTTCCCATGTTCTTTCTTCTTTCTTTTTCAGCTTGTAGTTTTCATTTATTATGTCATCTTCTTGGTGATCCTTTCATTTTATTCTTTCATTCTATCTTCTTTCTTTACTTTTATCAGTTCCAGTCATCTATGCATAATTTATAGTTCTTTTTGCTTCTAATATATTCTATACAACTTCAAACATAATATATGTACCTGACTACCAGTTTACATTACATGTACTCTATATTATTTTATCTTATTGTACAGTCTATAACTCTATATCTTCCTATTATCATTTCATATTATAACTGTATAAAAACTTTATATAATCTAACTCAGTTAATAGTTTCATACACTATATAATTTATACTATTCCTGGTGCTAAAATTGCAAAATCAACAAAGACAGACCCCACTTTTTGTTTTTGTGAACGAAATGACTTTATTTTGGTGAATCATGACTTTTATTTTTTAGAAACATGACTATTTGATGCATTTAGTTCAATATGATGTTGAAGATGTCATATTTGATCACTCTAGAATAGTATACATAATATTTTCTATATAGTGCGCTTGACCTGAGTCAGGTGAGCGCTTTTTTGCGCCTTGCGCTTCAAGCGTTACAAGTACTCTAGCGCCTTAAGTGCGCTTCACGACTTTGACTACCTTGATGAAGGCACTAACTGAAGCTTTGACTCTCTCCTCTCCTGCATTGCTTTGACAGAAAAACAGGCTTCAAAATACTCCTGGACAAAATCGCCTAGGCTAAACCGTAGCTCGAGGGCATACTCGGCTAGGCTCCTTTGCTTTAGAAGTCATAATAATTCTAGCACCAACCTAAACCTGAACCTATTCCATAAATATTTTGGCTTTGTTATAAAAGATGTGGTATAATCTTGTCATCATTTCCTGGGTGTATAATTAAAAAATTAAATAAGAGTAAAAAAGTTTTGGAATTTTAAAATGAAAGTACTATGTTTTTATTCCCTAAATATGAGTAGTTATTGCAGTTTTCCCATTTCCCTTTAACACCAGAAACCAAAAGAGATATCCAGATAATGTATTAAGAAAGTGTTTCTTGATTTGCAAAAGATGTTGACCAAATACAATGGAATAAAAAAAATTCTACCCAGAAGCTCGAACATGAGTTAAAGCTCATACGGTAGACGAAATACATGACCAAAAACTTATACCGAGGATTTCAAACCGTTGTAGGATGTAGACCATCTTAAGAAACTTTCTTAAGCTCTGTAACTATTCACGCGCTCACGATCATCTACTGGTATTCACACGCTCACAATCAGGTCGTCTGGACTCTGGAGGTGGCGTGCTAGTGCTTTCTCTTTCTTCTCTCTACACGATCTGACCGTATGGATATAACTATGTACATGTGTATTTTTGTGGCTGTTTTGTATAATGATAACTTGATCAGCCCCTTGTATTGCCCCTGTCTTATCAATGCATGGTTGTTGATGGTGCAGAATGGCGCGTGCGCCATGAGGCGCACAAACACCCCCGCGCCATGAAAAGTGGCCGTGGCGCTACATATACAAGTGGCGACGCCATTTGGACGCCATCGCCATGGAGATGGGCCATCTTATCTTATTTAATGAAAGAGAAGTACAGGCTCGCGAGTCTGGGGAAAGTAGAAAGAGAATTCCGATTGAGTGTAGACAAAAATTTTCCAGAGCATCTGGAATTGTTCAAAAATTTTGAGCATCACCTTCGAACGAATCCCCTGTTCTCTGCGATTCAACTCTTCCCGGTGACAAGTGTAAGGCGACCTCAAGTCACGACTCGCCAGGCTACTCTCTCTGTGTCGAAAGTTGACCTCGACCCATCCAGTGGCGGATCTGCCAGGGGGGCAGGGGGCCGGTGCCCCTGCTGTGGTCGTCGAGTTAGGGTAGAGCTAGGGGTTGGGGGCCGCCGGACTGGTCCGCGGAATTTGTCCGGCGAGCTTGGAGACTTTTGGAATTTTTCGCCGGCCGCAAGACTGGGAAGAACGATCGACGAATTGAAGATGAAGCAGACTTTTTTTTGTTTTAATTGATACGATGTCGTTTGAGGAGGATAAGGGAAAAAAAATAAAGGACGTTCGGGCCAAGGAAGGTCCAATTGCCCAAGTGCCCAGGCTGCCCAGTAGCCTGCAGCCCAAAGTCCCAAACCAAGACCAAACTCCCAGCAACTCCAGCAAACCAGTTACGACTTATGAGCGACCAGCCCCTTCCCTTGGCGCAAGCAGCAACCAGCGAAGCAATGGTGAGCCACGCCGCCACACCGGACCGCCAGCCTCCAGCTCGCCGACCGTCGTGAATCCGTCACCCGGTCCCGTCCTGCCTTCCGCCCTCCGACCTCCGTCATCCGCCAGTGACTTGCCTGGTAGATTTTCAGTTTTCCTATTGTTTCCCTTTTTAATTAAATTAAAATTTTGGTATTTCACTATTGATTTTTTTTAATTTGAAAAATATGTAGTGTAAAATAGTTTGAATCAAAACTAATGATTATGTGTTAATGTATTGTTTGTATTAAATTAAGAATTTAAAATAGTTTGAATTAAAAAAAATTCTGATAATTATTATTAGGGAGTGTAATTTGTTAAGACAATATTATTATTAATGTGATGATTTACATTATTTGATTGTGCCCCTGCTTAAACTATTTTCTAGTT